GGTGTACGCCATTTTCACCTTTTGGCCGTATGTTCAGTTTTATTATGGTTTCCACACAATTCTTTATAAATCTGACCCCAGGTCTTTACCAGGTTCTAAATCTACTCAAGTCTAACTTCAAGTGAACAAAAACACAACTGACTTCAAAATGCAGAAGTGTGTGAAAAGCTGGATTAATCTTCTGACCCAGCAACTTGTTGAACCTCCTTCAGCAGAACTCTCAGTGGCTTTCTGTATGACTTCAGTCTCTCATGGTTGTGGAGGGATTCTGACCCACTCTTCTTTTCAACGTTGCTTCAGTTCATTGAAGTTTCAGCTCTGGTCTCTGAAGGTCCCTCCATCAGATTCAGGCTCTGAATTCTGACTGGACGATTGCAGCACCTTGATTCTTCTCTTTTCGACCCGTTCTGTTGTCATTTAGCTGCTGTGTTTGGACCATTGTTCTGTTCTGTTGGACCCAGTTTGGTACAAACTTCAGTTGTCCGACAGTTGGACTCACATCGAACTAGGATCATAAAATCTGAGAAGTTTCTGGTCCATTCAATGAATACACAGAGCCCAAACCATCAGCCCTCCACCACCGTGCTGACAGCTGGGAGGGGCTTTTTGCTGCAGAGAATTCTGGATAAACATCTGTCCTTAGGTTCAATCTGTCTAAAGGACATTGTTCCAGAAGTCTTTGGTTCATTCAGATGGAACTTTAAAAACACTAGTGGTGCTGCCATGTTGGTTTTAAAGACAAGAGGTTTGTTTCATTCAGCCATTCTAAACAAGGCATGACCTTTGTCATTTTTTTTAAATGAGGAGCGTAGAGCCTGAGATGGAGCTTGTTTTTCTGAGCATTGCACGGTCTGACCTTCAGGGTGAAGACTGTCAGTTGTCAGCAGGTTGTTTAACTCAATTTTCCTTTTGTGTATTTCAAGCTGTTGTTAAAGGTAGCGCAACTGTGTTTGCTGCATGACCGGTGTCACCTGTTCCCCCATGTTTGCCTTGTATGTCTTCTTGAATGGCTGTTTCTTAACTTCCCCCACCCCTCTTCCCTGAATGTACAGCACCTTGGGAATTTATTTCTGTGAAAGGCAATATATAAATAAAACTTTACTTTGTCTTAAATGTTTCAGTGATTTAAAGTTTTCTTGAGAATAATCTTTGTTTGGAAATGACCTTTGACTCTTTTCAGATTGATGAGCAGGTTGTTGCTTGTATCTTTCCTTCCTGGTGTATTAATTTATGTTAATTTAATGTGTTGAATTGTATTAACACACACCTGTATGTTTCAGAGCAGCAAACTGTGTATTTTGGCCAGCAGCACCTAGTTGCTAGTTTTCTTGCTAAATGCTATGGCAGCAGCAAGAGTAGACTAGTTTTTCCACACTCAGTTTTTCCATTTTGACTGTGCTTTTGTTTAATGAATAAGGAAAAAAGTAGAATTTGTTGTGGGCTTTTGAACACTTGAGATTAGATTTGATTAATTTTAGAACCTGGTAAAACCTCCGTTAGAAATAGTTACGGTAGGTTATAATTCTCTTTCATCTTTATAGTCAAAAGACGGGAAGTTTGAGAAACAGGGCAGCAGAATCTAAAGCATTCAATTTTTACATGTATTGTTTGTTTGTTTTTAGTTAACTTACATTTTTGTCGCACAGGTATGAGGTCAACAAAATGAACAAACCCTGCAAAATGCAAACAGTTAACTTGACAAAAACTGTTGAAGTTTTGTACGTTGGATAAATGATGTTGATCCTACCTGAAAGCTGTTCAGCACAACAAAGGTGTAGTTGATGACATTAGCCAGGACTCCACTTGTGAGGTCTATAATCATTATAGCTAATCCAAAAATCCATGTGATGCCAAAGATTGGAGTCAGAAGAATGACTGATCTCAAAACCGTTTTGGCAGCTGCTTTCTCTGTTTCTTGTGCTGTGTCTGCATTCTGATGGTGGCTTAAAAGCTTCATAATAACCACCAGCATGGAGAACACGTTGACAAAAACAATCACACTAAGCGGAATGATGAACGTAAAAATGGAGCCCTGGAGGAGTCCTGTGTAAACCAACCAGCAGGTTTCTCGTGAGTAGTACACACCTTCACCTCCAGCATTGTTGGTAAGAAATGTGACAAAGACAATAATCAAGGGACAACCATAGCCCAGGACTAAGGAGAACCGCAGGTAGTTAGTCTTGCTCACTTTATGGAACAAGAAAACAGCTTGATGAAGCAGTGTGGTGCTAAGACACAACATCCAGAAGAACATAGCCAGATAACAGAAGTGCTTCAGCACTGCTGATGTTCTACACCAGACCTCTGTGATGCTCGTTGATTCAGACGATGCTAAAAAACAGGCGTCAGCGACCAGCAAACACAGAGAGATGTTCACGTGGGCAGTATGCCGTAAATGCAAAGTGTTTGTCTTAACTACATCTTTCCAGACAATGAATTCTATCAAAAGGCTGATAAAGAGCGACAGGACTGATACTCCTAGGCCAACATAGGTTATCTCATCTAAAAATGGGACTTTCAGGGGCTCTTTAGACATTAGAATAGCAAACGAGGAGAGATGGTGGCAGATGCAGCGCTTCTGGTTGTCAGGGCCAGCCCAATGGCACCCGTTTGATGACCAATCTGATTCATTACTGTCCCGGAACACACACCTTATTTCAACATTACGTGGCCTGTCTTTGAGTAGCCTGAAGTCAATAGTAATGTCCTGCTTTGGATCATTTTCTTCTGTAGTTGCTGACACAACAATACTGTTGGGCTCTGTGGTGTTATCACTGCTGGACAAATACGTCTGCAGATATTTGAATCCGGCCAGTTTCACTGTACTCGAACTTTGAAGAGAAATAGTAACATTGAAAACTGTGTTGTTGCACGAGTCATTTCTGCATGCAACCACTTCTATATTTGCCTTTTTAATGATATCAGATATGTTTGCTTTTTTAACTAATTCCTCAACTGAACTCAAATATGTATCAGCCATGGAAAAATTTGTGTCAGGAGTTGTTGAGTTCCAAGAGCTTTGAAGAGTTTCATTCAGCAGATTACTGGATGAGCTCAGGAAGTTCTGAAAATAGAAAAATAAAAGAAATTATACCTCTGAAGGAAATTTTATAAATGAATGTTACATGCAATATTGTATTTTTACACTTTCTGATCTTTGCAGTCTTAAAAAACAGAATGGGTTGGTGTGTGTGTTCTCCTGTGTTCTGTCTGCAGCCTAAAATGGGTTTTGTTCTACGTCTGAATTAAAAGTTACCACCTTCAGGGGTGTAACCAGGAAGAGCCTGAAGAGGTGATGAGGTTGAATCATTAAGTTATGGTAGAAGTTTAGTTTGGCAGAGTCTCTCTGTTAGATCAGCTTGGGTCAGCTGGGCTGCTGAGAGGGTTTGTTGTGTTTTTTCATGATACAAGCTCAAGGTTGGATACAAGGATACAAGCTTGCGACTTTTGCTGTTGTGTTGTGGTTTTTGTTATCATGTTGTGACATTTGCTATTGTGTTGTGACTTTTGCTGTCGTGTTGTAGTTTTTGCTATCGTGTTGTGGTTTTTGCTATCTTGTTGTGTTTTTTGTTTTTGTGTTGTGACTTTTGCTATTGTGTTGTAGTTTTTGCTGTCGTGTTGTGGTTTTTGTTGTCGTGTTGTAGTTTTTGCTGTCGTGTTGTGGTTTTTGTTGTTGTGTTGTAGTTTTTGCTGTCGTGTTGTGGTTTTTGCTGTTGTGTTGTGGTTTTTGCTGTCGTGTTGTGGTTTTTGTTGTTGTGTTGTAGTTTTTGCTGTCATGTTTTGGTTTTTGCTGTCGTGTTGTGGTTTTTGCTGTCTTGTGGTTTTTGCTGTCGTGTTGTGGTTTTTGTTGTTGTGTTGTAGTTTTTGCTGTCGTGTTTTGGTTTTTGCTGTCGTGTTGTGGTTTTTGTTGTTGTGTTGTAGTTTTTGCTGTCGTGTTTTGGTTTTTGCTGTCATGTTGTGGTTTTTGTTGTTGTGTTGTAGTTTTTGCTGTCGTGTTGTGGTTTTTGCTATCATGTAGTGGTTTTTGCTACCGTGTTGTCTTTTTTGCTATCGTGTTGTGGTTTTTGCTTTTGTGTTGTGACTTTTGCTGTCGTGTTGTGGTTTTTGCTGTCGTGTTGTGGTTTTTGCTGTTGTGTTGTAGTTTTTGCTGTCGTGTTGTGGTTTTTGCTATCGTGTTGTGGTTTTTGCTGTTGTGTTGTAGTTTTTGCTGTCGTGTTGTGGTTTTTGCTATCTTGTTGTGGTTTTTGCTGTCGTGTTGTAGTTTTTGCTGTCGTGTTGTGGTTTTTGCTGTCGTGTTGTGGTTTTTGCTGTCGTGTTGTAGTTTTTGCTATTGTGTTGTGGTTTTTGCTATCTTGTTGTGGTTTTTGCTATCGTGTTGTGGTTTTTGTTTTTGTGTTGTGACTTTTGCTATTGTGTTGTGGTTTTTGCTGTCGTGTTGTGGTTTTTGCTGTCGTGTTGTGGTTTTTGGTTGTTGTGTTGTA